ATTTCCAACTAAAGCAACAATGAGTTAACAATACTGAGTTAATTATTTCCAATGATTTTTCTCTTAAGATATATTCACTTTGGACCATATATAACCAAAAATCTGCAAACCATGTTTTCAAAAATTATGAAACTAACATTTCTATATTCTACTTATAGGGTGAAATTGTTAAGGGCATGATCTTTGGAATAAGACTGTGTGGTATCCAGAATTGTGCCCCACCCCCCCACCTCCAAAAAAAATTGCTGATGGGAATTAACTTTGCTCATGAGCTGACCTTACAATACAGAGATCATCCTGAATTATGTTATCAAAAGGGTCCTTTAAGTATACAAGTGAGGCAAGTGGGGAGGTGAGAGTGATGCAACACCATGAAAAGGACTCCGCTTGCCTTTGCTGGCTTTGAAGGTGGAGGAAGGGGGTCAGGAGTCCGGAAGGCAGGCAGCCTCTAGCTGGAAAAGGCAAGGAAATGGATTCTCCCCTTGAGCTTCCAGAAAGGAATACAGCCCTGCTCTACCTTGACTTTAACCCAGGGAAACCTTTGTCAGACTTGTGACCTCTAGAAACATCAGATACTAAATTTTTGTTGGTTAAGATGCTAAATTTGTGACCATTTGCTTTGGCAGCAATAGAAATTTACATGGGTCAATTTCTATCATTCAGCACCGGTGGGAGTTTGAGAAAATTACTTAACATTTCTATTCCTATTTATTTATTTGTAAAATGAGATTAGTAATATTATCTACTTGAGGGTGAAATAATATTTAAAACAATGCCAGATGCATATTAAGTACTCAATAAATGTTAAATGCTGTTATTGTAATGTTATTGTTGTTTTGTATTTACCTTCCCCTTTGATGTTTATCATGATTTGACCTAAGAACTGTATGTGAAATGTATGGGGTTTTTAAAAATTCATTTAAGCAGCACAAGAAAAACGCTTGCTAACTTTTAATAGCTTTAAAGTCCTGAACTGCCTGGAGTACCTTCTTAGGATGTTTTGTTTTTAGCTTTGAACACCTAAATCATCTTGCTTATTTCTAACTTGCTAGGACAAGCTATTCTACACCATTTTTTAAAAGAACGTTTTTACTTCTTGAGGACTTAATTACAGTGCTGCTGGTTGATGAGTCTGCATTGTAAACTAAGACCTTGAAATAAACACAGTCATTTCAGTTCTTGATACAACTGAGTGAAAGTGCGTTCTCTGATTAGCTTGTCGGCAAGGCCGTGACAATGGGATAAAATTAGTCACACTTGCCAATGACCTCATACTTAGTACCGATGTGGCCTTTTCTGAACCTTTCTTTCTGAAACGTATTGTGTTGGCTATATTTGGTGTGTTTATGGTACATCTAGCCATTTTATTTGGGAAGTGTAATAAGTGTTTGCAGTATTTGATTAACTTAAATAATTTACATTTTCACAAGAGAAAAGTTTTGTTAGACACATAAAACATAAAGTCTTTTTTATTTTTAATAGGTTCTGGGATCCTCTGAGATATCCCAAATCTAAGCAATATTCATCTTTATGCCTATAAAGAGTGAAGAGTCCTATATTATTAATAACTATACTCTCAATAGTTATTAATAATAGAAATGTCTTCTATTGTTACTGAAAGCAACATACATTTGAAAGTATAAAAGAGCACTGTTTAGAAAAGAGGTTTTAGTAACTCACCACCTCTGTGCTAGTTCCCACTGCTGACGAAAGAGAATAGATTGAGCTTCCTTATGTGCCACTCACTCATTGATTTATTCATTCTTTCAACAAATATTAAGCTGTGTAATGTTCTAGGAATTATGAAACTCCTTCAAAAATAAATCATGTATTGTTTAGGAATATATATATATATATATATATATATATATATATATTCTAATTGATTTTAAAACCCACAAAATTCACAATAGTGCTGCCTCTGGGGAAGGTAGAGAGGTGGGCTGGGAAAAGAATATGCAGGTAGCTGCAATGGTGTGGGCAGTGTTGGGTGGTAATTCTTCAGATGTTGGTTCTATTATAATCTTTTATAATATACATACACTTTATTTACAGTCAAATATTCATTTTAAAATGGAACAACCAGTTTATGACTTAAGGAGGTTGTAGTCTTGTATGCTCTCCACAACTCGACTATTTCTTATAACCATGGCCTCTCAGCCATCAATTCTTAGGAGCGTTGCCTCTTTCTTTAGGGAAAACAAAAGCTATATACACCTAATTTTTTTTTAAATCCTTGATTAACATTATTATGAACTTACATGTGATTGCTTGTCCATATTCAAAGACCTGAGGATCATCACTGTCTAATGAGAAGAACAATGGGTATACTTGCTTGTTTCCTTCCTGTTTCCTGCTAGTTGAGGTTAAGGACAGGTAGTCAGCCCCAGCACATTTCATGTATAATATAGTGTGAAATAGTTGAAAGTCAAGTTTCTAAACCCAGTTCTAGTAGTAAGTCATTGCATGACCTTATGTAAGCAACAAAATTCTCTGTATTTTATTTATTTGTTTGTTTGTTTATATTATTTAATATGTTGCAGTGACATTGGTTAATAAGGCTAAATAGGTTTCAGGTGTGCATCTCTATGACACATGATTTGTATACTACACTGTGTGCCCACCACCCAAAGTCAAATCATCTTCTGTCATCATATATTTGGCTCCCTTTACCACCTTCCACCCTGCTTCCCTCGAGGAATACTGTTGTCTGATATATATATATGAAATATTACTATAAGGACTCACAAGGATCTATTATTCTGGTGACATTTGAGGAGGGAAAGTGGGAGACTCAAAAACAAGGGAGATTCCCTGGGAACCATTCTGTACCTTTCAAATTTTGAACCACCAAACATATCTCCTATTTGATAAAGAAAGAATAGATGGATGAATGAATCACAATATCTGGCATAAAATAAGTGTTCAAAAATGCATAGCTTTCATCCCTGGCTGGTGTGACTCACTTGGTTGGAGCCTGTTCCTGTGCACCAGGAGGTTATAGATTTGATTCCTAGTCAGGGCACATACCTGGGTTTTGGTTCAATCGCTGGTCAGGATGATCAACAGGTGTATCACTCTCACGTAGATGTGATTCTCTCTCTCCCTCTCTCTTCTATCTTTCCTCTCTAAAAATCAAGCAAACAAAAATTCTTAGTTTTTATTCTTTGCCAACCCCATCTAAATTATTTTAAAACTAAATATATACATTTAAGCCTTACTAATTTCTCCAATAATTTCAAATATTTGATTTCCTCCTTTAAACAAAATACACAGTAGCCCTAGCCAGTTTGGCTCAGTGGATAGATCATCAGCCTGCAGACCCCAGGGTCCCGGGTTTGATTCCTGTCAAGGGCACGTACCTCAGTTGCAGGCTCTTCCCTGGACCGGGCCCTGGTCAGGGCATGTGCAGGAGCCAACCAATTGATGTGTTTCTCTCACATTGATATTTCTCTCTGTCTTTTCCTCTCTCTTCCACTCTCTCTAAAAATCAATGGAAAAATATCCTCGGGTAAGGATTAAAAATAATAAAAAAATAAAATAAACAGGAAATCTGCCAGTTTTTTTAATCCATATTTTCCTATGGCATCAATTGCAGAAAATAAAATAGAATCCTGTATCTTTCAGCAGGTTCTGAATACACACACACACACACACACACACACACACACACACTAGTGACCCAGCACAGGAAATCGCGTGAGACCTGGGACCCCGGGGCTCCTCGATGGATTGTCCCAAAGAGGTAGGCCGGAGCTGGGGGTCCCACCTCCGCAGCACACACGCAGCATCAAGTCCTTGCCCACCAATGCGCCTCATCACACACGCAGTCCCACCCACCTGTGTGTGTCCACTGCACACGCAGCCTCCTTGTGACGGCATGAGGGCATGACGACCACCTAGGCTATTATTAGTATAGATATATAGCCCATTTCAAACCCAAACTGAACTCAAGGACATTAGAAATGAGAGAACAAGCTCAAGACACCTCTGTACTTCCCAAAAGGGAACAAGGTGAACTCTCTGCCTGCAGAGCCCAGCCACGTCATTGTTTGGATTCACCTCCTCTCCCAATCTGACTCTTAATTAAAGAGCCAACAAACAAGAAAATGTTCCAGGAAAGGGAAGAGGCCAAAAATGCTACAAATCCAGTAATCCAAGCAGTTGGGAGTATGGACAGAATAATTCAACTTTATTGTATTTTCAATTTTTCCTCCAATTTTTCTATTGGATTAAGGCAGGGGTCCTCAAACTACGGCCCGCGGGCCACATGCAAATACAAATATTGTATTTGTTCCCATTTTGTTTTTTTACTTCAAAATAAGATATGTGCAGTGTGCATAGGAATTTGTTCATAGTTTTTTTTTAAACTATAGTCCGGCCCTCCAACGGTCTGAGGGACAGTGAACTGGCCCCCTGTTTAAAAAGTTTGAGGACCCCTGGATTAAGGCAATCACCCTTTACCTATGACTTACCATTTTTCACTCTGTTTCCTAGATCATTTTTAGATTGTTAATATGCTGGAATAGGTTTGAGCCATTTGGTATTTTCTATTTCTACTCTCGGGTTATCTGCCTCTTTAGTATTTTCCATCTTTATGAGTCTTGGTTCTTTTTTAAAAAGTAGATTGAGCACTGGCTGGTGCTATTCAGTGATTAGAATGTCGGCCTGCACACCAAAGGGTCACAGGTTAGATTCCCAGTAAAGGGCACATACCTGGGTTATAAGTTCACTCCCCACCCTGGTCAGGGTGGGTGCAGGAGGCAAGCAGTTGATGTGTCTCTTTCACATTGATGTTTCTCTCCCCCCCCACCCTCCCTTCACTCTCTCTGAGAAGCAACAGAAAAAGTATCCTCATGTGAGGATTAACAAAAATAAATAGATTGAGATATCACTGTTTTTATTTCCTTTTAACTTCATTTATCACATCTATCATGCTGCTTGATAAATATTTAATCAACAAAATGTGTGCAGACGGCGAGCGGGCGGGCCAACCCAGACAGGAAGGCACAGAACATGGAGAATGATGAATTTTCGCCAGCGGATGGAATGGATTGGAGTGGGATTGTACCTGTTAGCAAGCGCAGCAGCATTTTACTATGTGTTTGAAATCAATGAGACTTACAACAGACTGGCCTTGGAACACATCCAGCAGCACCCCGAGGAGCCACTTGAAGGAACCACGTGGACACACTCCTTGAAGGCTCGGTTACTCTCCCTGCCGTTCTGGTTGTGGACGGTGATTTTCCTGATACCTTACCTGCAGATGTTTTTGTTCCTATATTCTTGTACCAGAGCTGACCCCAAAACGGTGGGCTACTGCATTATCCCGATATGCTTGGCAGTTATTTGCAATCGCCACCAGGCATTTGTCAAGGCTTCTAATCAGATCAGCAGACTGCAGCTGATTGACACATAGTCTCGGTCACCATTTTCCCCTTATGACTACAGAACTGCCAGTGCCGGCGGGACCTGATCACAAGACGCAGTTTTCCACAGATCTCAGGAAGTTGTGGTGGGGCAGAGGCCCTTTACACAGTGTGACTAGGGGGCTGTCTTTATCTGACTAATGGGTTTTTAGGTGAAGCCTGAGACAAGTCCTAACAAAATAATGTTGATGACTTCAGATTTTGGAAGTAAAATCATGTCTGTTACTTGCAAAAAAAAAAAAAAAAAAAAAAAAAAAACAAACAAACAAACAAAAAACACCAAAATGTGTGCAGATATAGAGATTATATGATATGAGACAATGAAAAGTCAATAATAACCATAGACAAGGATACTGAAGGTGAAGCAGTGTAGTCTTGCTACAGGAGGCACATGCATGGGGAGATGAGGAGGATCTGTGGGGCCAGAAGAGGAGGAAGCTCCTGTGGTCGGAGGGGGCTGTACAGGTTTTGTTAAGGAAAAGGCCTTGTTGGGAGCTAAAGAATTTGGATAAAGGAATGAAGAGAAGAGAACTTCCCAGGTAGGAGATCCAGGGTGGGTAAGTGTATGGAGAATGGAAAAATCTAAGCACCATTCAGCCAGGAGCTGTCGGCTTGAGGCAATATTTCCCAAAGTGTGGACCATGTAACATGAGAGGTACTAAATGATGTTAATTGATACAAGGAAAATTATTTCATATTTTTTCTTTATTGATTGATTGATTGAGAGAGAGAGAGAGAGAGAGAGAGAGAGAGAATATATCATCAATTTGCTGTTCCACTTATTTATGCATTCATTGGTTGATTCTTGTATGTGTCCTGACCAGGGATCAAACCTGCAACCTTGGAATATTGGGGACAATGCTCTAACCAACTGAGCTACCTGGCCAGGGCTGTTTCATATTTTAATAGTTGAAAACCATACATATAAAGAGAGGCTAGACTTATCTAAAACAAACAGAGGTAAGGAATCCCATTCGTGAGTTCCCGCCTTTAGTCAGCACTACATATGACACCTCAGGTTCCTCAGGAAGTCTCCCAGAGTCCTCAGCACCCATGTAAACTCCAGGACCAAGGACATTCTGATGGAGTGCAGCAATAAACGAATCTCAGGACTAGAGCAACCATTGTACGTTTCCCCCATTACTGGAGACCCAATACCCCCATTGTACTCTGCCTGGGAAGGCCAGGTGGGGGCTGTCACCCAGACTGAAGATATGGGACCATGAAGGGGCTCAGCTATTTGGCAAAAGACTCAGGATAGTAAATTTATTTCAATTTTAAAAGTGAGTTGTCTTGGAGGAAAAACGGTCAGTAGTAATTCATAAAATGAAGAAAATGAACTGGGTCAGTGGTTACCAAATGTTTGTGGATCTTATGCAGTACTAAATTTTCAAAGAACAAAAGAAGATATGCTGAAAGGCCTAAAGGTTAATATTTCCAAATATGGCAGGGATCAGGTAATTTATCACTAATCCTGCTTCTCCTTCCACCTGAGCACACAGCTAACCTGTATGTCTCAGCCTCCTTTGCTATTAAGTTTGGCCACATGGTGAATTCTGGCCAATGAAATGGGAATAGAAGTGATGTGCTCCACTTCCAGCCATGACCAATAAAATGCTCCCTCCTTAAATCTTCCTTCTTTTGCTACCCTTGCTGGCTGAATGCAGAAGACTTTGGGGACCTAGGTGAGGGCAGAGCCACAAGGTGGAACGAGGCTGGTTCTCTGAGTGAACATAAGTAATATTCCCTGTATTCAGATTTCACTTGAGGAAAACAAGAAATTTGTTGGGTTAATCCATGGATATTTAAGAATTACAGCAGTTGTCATTATTTACCGTAACATATATACCAAGTGGGGACACTTAAAAAGATACCATCTGCTATCACAAAGAAAGGACATTTTTAAATAAAAATTGTAGGAAGCATCCAAACTCTAGAAACAGGAGCAGTCCCTCAGATTGAAAAGCTAGTTCTCTGAAAAACTCATTGCCTTGAACCTGATTTTTCTTATTTCACCATGAATGAGTGATAACTTCATTGCAGACAATCATTGGCCCATGAACCAACATTGAACCTGTGGGACACGTGACTCCCCATTCAGTCAGAACTCAAGTGACAGGCTGAATTCACCTGCTCAAGTAAAGTTGCCAGGGGACAGCCTCTCTCTATCTCTGTGTTGCTTCATTTCCTGCAGGCTCTGTTTACATGGTAGCTTCCAGCCTCCAGGCTAACATGAGCATAGCTCCTTGAGAAGTCCCAGGTCAGTGAGTGCTCACCCTAACCAAACACTGCAGCCAGCAGGACAGGAGGTGCCGTGTGGCCAGGCCTGGGTCATGTCCAGGGCTGATTCCCCAAAGAAAATGAGTGTGTTCTGTTACCCAAAGAAAGGAGAATGAGCCCCCTGGGGCCAAAACAGCAGCTCCCCACTGCAGTTCCCAGTGCCCTTCCAGTGCTGAAGCCCTGCTTGTGACTGGGGCAATCTGACTTGGAGAAGCTGAGAGAAGATCACAGTACCATATGGGATTCCTCACAGTTGGCGCCATAATGTGCAGAAGACCTTCAGTGAGGATTCTGCCTGGCTTTTCAGTGGGATTTAAAACAAAGTGTGGGAGAAGAATTTTAGTTTGCAATGAAGCATTTTGAAGATGAGGGGCAAATGTATAGTAATCAAGCAAGCAATATATTTCAAATAAAATGTGTTCTTCTCCATACCAAGATAGATGTAGATGCCAAATTCTTGGGCTTATTAATGTAAAATGTGAGTGTTGTTTAGTCTTAAGAGCATAGAAACAAATGAGATAAATTTGGGATGGTTAAAAACACAGTTTCTCCATCTATCATAATATTTTTACATACTATTAGTGTCATACCAACTGTGAAAAAAGATTCAAGCTAAAGATATGCAATACTTTGTATTACCGAGTCCACATAATTGTTTTCTCTCCTGAAATCTGTTGCCTTTCTTCATTCTTAACTTGGTGACTCTTGGTATAATTAAATGTTCTTTTTCTTTACCCAGATTAGTATAGAGTTTCAGGCTTTCAATTCAAGTCCAATAGAATTTAATCTCTCTCCAATTCCTTTGAAAGACCTGCACTATCATTTTTGTTTCTTTCACTCTAATTACACTAGGATACTGGATTTATTTTCCTATTTCTAACAGTCTAGCCTGGACTCATAAAATGTAACCCAGTACATATCTGCCAGAAATAATTAGACAATGAAGAATTTTCAAATCTAGTTCAGATAAAAACTACAATATTATTCTCCATTCACTGCTGTTCTTCAGGCTATTTTTTCTTTTCATCTCTGCTGTCAGAATTCAGTCAAGAGTCCTTCAATACAAGTGCTCAATGTAGTAATATTTTTCTGCTTCTTCTGTTCATACTCTTTTCTCCCAGGCAAACATAAAGGCTAACTCTTGTCTTTATTGCTTCAAGATTCTCTGCCCTGAATCACATGTGACGTTGCACTTTTATATTTTTCCTCAAAAAAGAGAAAATAAATCTATAGTACTACACATCTGCTTGATATTTCTAATCTATCAAAACATCAACCTGTTTTGGAAATTGAGTATTCATAATTATTAACTATGATGATCAAATGTAAAGATAAAATTTGCAGATTTTCCTAAGATATTTGACATTTTTAAAGTACTCTGAATTAATCAATTATTCATTCTTTTAGCAAATGTTTTTTTGAGTCCCTGATTGTGCCAGGCATTACGGTCAAAAAGCTGAAGACACAGCACTACGCCAAACACTAGATCCTGCCCCCATAGAAATTATATTCTAGAAAAGGAAGCAGGAAGTAAACACATGAACAACCACAACAAAATGTTGTTTTGTGAGAAACAAACTGGGTAAAGAGGTTAAGAGTAAGTGATGGAGAATACCTAAGGAAGTCCTCTCCAAGGACAAACATCTGAGCTGAGACCAAGGGGATGAGAAAAAGACAGCCACACTATGGAACTGGAGGGGACTACCTTCTAGGCAGAGAAAACACTTGAACAAAAGTCTAGAGGCTAGAAAGGGTTCACCAAAGTCAGGGGACAGAAAGCCAGTGTGGCTAGATCATCTTCACTCATCTCCATGATCACCATGAAGTCCAAGTTAAAAATACTTTTCTTGTATCGATTACATCGTTTTAATTTCCTGGAAAGTAACTTACTCCTTAACTTTAATAATAACTTACACAGTGAAGTAGCTCTGAATTCTCTGATTGAGTCTGTCTTTAACTCTGGAGAAGCCTTTTGAGAGTCAACCTTTTAAAAGCATCAGCTACCACTTCAGTGGTCAGAAAGAGTTAATACACCTCCCAAAATGCCCAGTTTACTGCCAAGAAATCCTATATACCGTGAGACAATCTGCCTGGGTATTTGTCGCCATCTGGTATTTAAAACAAATCGCATTGTGCAGAACTGGCCAATATTTTAAAAACATAATACAACCAATCTAGGTTTCAAATGCACACATCCATTCAACTAAGCCTTTAAGTGCCCTGGTTTTAATACCATTCCACTCTAGCAAAATGTCATGTACAAAAGACTAAATGAGCAGGGCTTGACTGTCTCTTTTGAGCTCAGCAGGATCCTAGTGTCTGCTCCATCTGCTTTCTATAAGTACTGGGCCAATCAGGAATCAGCCAGTTTGAAGAGGACAAATGCTGACTGCTTCCCCAGCTCTGCTCCAGTTCTGTAGCAACCGGGAGAAGATGCTTCCTGGGCAAGGAATGAAGTAATCATTGAGAGGATGAACTTTGACATCAGGGAGACTCCGGTGCAAATTCTAGGCTGGCACTCACTGGCATTGAGAACTCAGTCCCCAGGTAACTTACCTGACTTCTCCAAGATTCACTTCTGGCAACTGTAGAAGTACTAGTAACTACGGATTTGATTTGTTGTGAAAATTAAGTGCAAGAATGTACATAAAGTATGTGGCACTGGGTGGTGTACAATAGCAGGTATCATTTTTAATAGTCTTGATAATAAATTGTATTCTTCAGATGAGTAGAGGAATACCTGCTAAGCAATTTCCCATCCTCATAGAGAAACAGCAGGTGTTGAGGGTATATAAGTCCACCAACTTACCAAGGCTTCCTTGCACCAGTTCAATTGCTACATCCACCTTAAGGCTAGGGACCTCAGAAGGGCCACTGACCTAGGGGCCCCCAATGAT